TGCAAGATCTAGATAGGCAGAGAACACTGAAAACCATTTCATTATATAAATTTTATGCCATTTTGATTTGTAGTAATGTAGGTCTTTTGTAAAAGTGGGATTCACACATATTAACTAAGTTTAGTATTAAAAACAAAATCATCACAATGAAGGATGTACAGGTAGTGGAACGATTATCAGCGCTGAAAGTGGAATCGGAGACACAAGTTCAGATTCTGAGCTCGTCTGCTGCATTCACTTTTGCTCAAATGTCCTTTAGAAAGGCATGAATCCATATCTCCCTCGGCACACTCAACTATGGGTTAAATATCAGGTTACACTGGGCCCCACTAGCCTTGGGTAGCAATCAGTTTAAGAGAAGGAAAACCGAATTCCAAACAGTGGAAAATGCAATGGAAATTTGCTCTGCTATCTTCTCCAAGAATGTATGGCAGGTGATAAATAAAAGGAATCTGTGGAGAGTCATGTCTGCCTACATCCTAAAGGGACTCCATGTTAAAAAAAAAAAAAAAAAAAAAAAATCAAAGTGAAACTTTTAGTAAAGATTGAACCCTCTCCACTAATTTGCAAGACCAGCCAGCACCTTTGAAAATTTCATTACATTAAGATTTTAAAAGAAAAATAATCAAAAGTTAAGGATAGAGAGACAGTGTCTGGTTAAAGGTCATTTCCACCCAACATTACAAAAGTTAGTTCCCAATTTTCATTGTTAATATAAAATGACTGCAAATTGACACTTGTGGTTGTTTTGGTGTTGATTTCTGTTGTGTTCTAGATTGAAACATTGCATTGGTCAGATGCAAGTCAGACTTTGTTCAATGTTGTGGTTTTGAATGCCTTAAAGATAAAGTATGAAAAGTTGCACTTTCGCCATATTATGCGCTATGAAATTCAGAAAGAAGTGTCAGAAGAGCAACAAAAAACATTCAGGTTTATTTGGATTGCATTCCAGCACTTTGGGTCGTCAAAAATGGTTTGATGGATTTTATCAGAGTGATTTTAACCTGAACCATCACCCACATCCCAAATAACCTTCCAATGTCAATAAAGAATAAACCAAAGATTTCAACAGAAGAGACTGCTAAGAGTTTGAAAATCGATATCTCAAACACCTTTCATCATTTGAAGAGATTTGGGTTCCTTTCCAAACTTGTCATGTTGGTACCACATTCTCTGACAGAACATAACAACCTTGATTGTGTTTCGGTGGCAACTTCTTGGCTCTTGCACCACAAAAAGGAGCTGTTGTTAGGCAGAATTGCCATAGGTGATAAAAAAAAATGGATCATTTATGATAATGTTTGAAGCAAACAGAGATGGAAATAAGTTTGTGAATGTGAAGAACCTGTGGCTAAAATGGGCTTGCATCCAATGAAGGCATCGCTGTCTGTTTGCAGGATTGCAGAGGAAAAATTCGCTTTGAACTTCTTCCAGTCGGTGAAACAATAACTGCAACAAAGTATTGTGACCAAATCGCTAATTTCAATGTGGCTATCCAAGAAAAATAGCAATTTTTTAACAAATCAAAAATGTGTCATTTTCCACTAGGACAACCCAAGATCACATGTTGCAAAACGGATGATCTATTTTTTTTTTTCTTTTTATGTGTTGTGTCCTTTCAGGACATAAGCAATCATGGCTCTCCACTTCTCCCTATCACTTGTGGCTTTCAATAAGTTTCATACCTCTGCCACTTCCCCTAGACCACGTTCTGTCATCCACTTGCTTAAGCCCACCAGGTATGTCATGCATTGCTTTCCCTTGTCTCTTCTTCTCTCTATTCGACTTGTGAGTATCAGATTCTCCAGGCCCTCCTTTCTCATCATGTGTCCTAGAAATTTCATCTGCCTCTTCCTTATGTTAAGCATAAGCTTCCTCCTTGTCTGCATCCTCTCCAAGACCTCACTGTTGCTGACATGCTCAATCAATGATATCCTCAGCATCCTTCTATAGAACCACATCTCTGCCACCTTGAGTCTCTTCTTCATCTTTGAGGGTACTGTCCAAAATTCACTGCTGTATAGGAGAACAGATGTCACATAGCAGCTCAGTACTCTTTTCTTTGTCACCAAAGAATCCTCCTGCAGAAGCTTAAAGAGGGGAAATGGGTCCCACCTTTCAACACCCATCGTATTATCCTGACTTGACTCCTTCAGATTTTCATTTGTTCTGATCTCTAAGTGACAAAAAATTTTATAACTGCCTCACAACATTTGTCCAACAAAACACGAATCTTGTTGAATGATGGGAGACAGTTACTAAAATGGAAACTATGTACTTAACTAATAAACGTTATTTTTGTGAGCATGTAAAATTTTGGTTTTAATTTTCTAATTGGGCCAAAACTTTTGCAATAATTACCTGACGTTCCTTTCTAATTGCTTGTCCTTCTGTCAGCAACTAGAGGAATTTGCCTCCAGTCAGCTGTGAACATTAAGTTTATAATATTATGTCAAAGTTTACCAATGTTGAAACTTGCTAAAATTGAAAATCAAGGAGAAGTGTGTGGTCAGTGACCAGGAATTAAGGTAAGCATTGCAGATAGAATCTGGATGATTCTATGCATAAATCTAAAAAACATTGTAAATGATAAAAATTGGGAAGGAGATTGACATTGGTCAGGAATGCATGCAAATATTATTCACGGAACAAGATAGTTACATGTATAATAAAAATGCATTGTAAATGATTTGAAAATAGAAATGAATTAAATTCAAGGATGAATTGTTAGGAATTAATACAAGCATTGCAGACAGAATAAAACTATTATGTTTAATATAAAGATATTGAAAAAAATCAGGAAGGAATGGTCAGTGGTCAAGAATTAATGTAAAAGTTACTATCAGATTAAAATGATTCATTTTATTTGGTTCATTTATTTTTTCAAACTTTTTCAAACAAAAACTTAAAATTTTCTCACCAATTGATAGAATGAAAAAAAAATTGATTTCATTTACAGTTTCGCTTTCACCTAGATTGCAAAGAAAATTCAAAATATGCTGAAAACAGTTACCCCTTTCCCACCAATTGGATATACAGTGTCCATGGACTAATATTTGGAACCACCATGACTTCTTATTTCATTCATGACAGTGAATTAGCTACACTTCAAAACTGAATATTACAATGAAAGGAGAAAAGACCATCTCTAGAAAAAAAATAAAATTATTTTGTTTCAAAGAAAGAAGAAATTTTGTCCAACGCAAAAATGGCCAAGTTTAGTTAATACAAATTTGGTAGTGAGAAAGTAAAATGATGCAAGAGGGTAAGGAATAAACCTGTCAAATTTCTAGAAATATTGCATTGCAAATGTGGGGGGGATTTGTAAGAGGCGGAGTCAAGTGTGAGGGTGAATAGGTGCAATAGTTGGCATTTTATTTATTTATAGATCTTTAGCCTGTTAAGAAAAGGCAGTAAGAGTTGCCATCAGTTGTTATAGAAGATTGTTTGAGGAAGAAAAAGATCTAAGTTGAGATGGATTGTGCAAAAAAAGGCAAAATATTGGAAAGGAATAGTGAATTAGGCAGGAACATGAGAGAGAGAGAGAGATAGAAAGATGACAGGAGAAAGTGTAGGTATAAATATTTATGAAGTTTAAGAGAGTTTGTCACAATAAATATAGTGAAAAGAGAGTGAGAGATAGGAGAAGCCAAGAGCATCTGAATGAGAGAGAGAGAAACAGAGACAGGAGAATCTAAAGAGAAAAAAAAAGAGAGACAGGAGAATCTGAAGAGAAAAAAAAAAAAAGAGCGACAGGAGAAAGCGAGAAAAAGGGAGAGCGACAGGAGAAAACGAGTAGACACTTGAGAAACCGAGAAAAGTAAGAAAGAGGGAGAAAGACTGTAGAAAAGAGAGCGAGAACGAGAGACTGAAGAAAAGAGAGAGAGAGACTGGAGAAAAGAGAGAGAGCCAGAGACTGGAGAAACCCGAGAAAAGAGAGAGACTGGGGAAACCCGAGAAAAGAGAGAGACTGGGGAAACCCGAGAAAAGAGAGCGCGAGAGACTGGAGAAAAGAGAGAGAGCGAGAGACTGGAGAAAAAGAGAGAGCGAGAGACTGGAGAAAAGAGAGAGAGCGAGAGACTGAGAAAAGAGAGAGAGAGAGCGAGAGACTGGAAAAAAGAGAGAGAGCGAGAGACTGGAGAAAAGAGAGAGAGAGCGAGAGACTGGAGAAAAGAGAGAGAGCGAGAGACTGGAGAAAAGAGAGAGAGAGCGAGAGACTGGAGAAAAGAGAGAGAGAGCGAGAGACTGGAGAAAAGAGAGAGAGAGAGAGAGACTGGAGAAAGAGAGAGAGAGAGCCAGAGACTGGAGAAAAAGAGAGAGCGAGAGACTGAGAAAAAGAGAGAGAGCGAGAGACTGGAGAAAAGAGAGAGAGAGACTGGAGAAAAGAGAGAAAGAGACTGAGAAACTGAGAAAAGAGAGAGCGAGAGACTGGAGAAAAGAGAGAGAGCGAGAGACTGGAGAAACTGAGAAAAGAGAGAGCGAGAGACTGGAGAAACTAAGAAAAAAAGAAGCAGAAGAAGCCAGGTAAAGAGAGAAAAAGAGTGGAATGGCCACTGCTATTTCATGTAAGATTAATCTTTATCTAATTATATATTTTTAGTTTACATTTAGTTTACACTGCAGTGGCCACATCTCTTTCTTTTTCTCTGGCTTCTTCACTTTCTTTTTTTTTTTTCTTGATTTCTTCAGTCTCTCTCTCGGTTTCTCTAGTCTCTCTCTCTCTCTCTCTCTTTTCTCGGTTTCTCTAGTCTCTCTCTCTCTCTCTCTTTTCTCGGTTTCTCTAGTCTCTCTCTCTCTCTCTTTTCTCGGTTTCTCTAGTCTCTCTCTCTCTCTCTCCAGTTTCTCCAATGTCTCTGTCGTCATCAAACAATGAAGATTTCTTTATCCACACTACCGACAGTCTATCTCCAATATTAAGCATTCTCCCCACCCGCATTAAAACATTTTTTAAAAGATTATATGAAATGGTTGATAGTTGCATGTATTTTCGCCATCAGTTCATGACTATCTCCTCCCAACTTACTCCATATCTCTTTCATCCACAACAGTTTCTTCATATATGTGTACGTTTGTGTTTCTCAGCCTGTTGAGGTTTCTCTCTCTTCCTCTTTCACAGGTATGAAGAGAGAGACATAGACAGACTGTCTGTCACTCTTCATGCCTGCCAGTCTGTCCGTCACTCACTCTTCATGCCTGCCAGTCTGCCCGTCACTCACTCTTCATGCCTGCCAGTCTGCCCGTCACTCACTCTTCATGCCTGCCAGTCTGCCCGTCACTCACTCTTCATGCCTGCCAGTCTGCCCGTCACTCACTCTTCATGCCTGCCAGTCTGTCCGTCACTCACTCTTCATGCCTGCCAGTCTGCCCGTCACTCACTCTTCATGCCTGCCAGTCTGCCCGTCACTCACTCTTCATGCCTGCCAGTCTGCCCGTCACTCACTCTTCATGCCTGCCAGTCTGTCCGTCGTCACTCTTCATGCCTGCCTTCCCGTCATGCCCTGCCAGTCTGTCCGTCACTCACTCTTCATGCCTGCCAGTCTGCCCGTCACTCACTTTCATGCCTGCCAGTCTGTCCGTCACTCACTCTTCATGCCTGCCAGTCTGCCCGTCACTCACTCTTCATGCCTGCCAGTCTGCCCGTCCTCACTCTTCATGCCTGCCAGTCTGCCCGTCAGCCTCCAGTCCCGTCCTCACTTCTTCATCTGCCCGCCAGTCTTCATGCCTGCCAGTCTGCCCGTCACTCACTCTTCATGCCTGCCAGTCTGTCCGTCACTCACTCTTCATGCCTGCCAGTCTGTCCGTCACTCACTCTTCATGCCTGCCAGTCTGTCCGTCACTCACTCTTCATGCCTGCCAGTCTGCCCGTCACTCACGCTTCATGCCTGCCAGTCTGTCCGTCACTCACTCTTCATGCCTGCCAGTATCTCTTCATATATATTCATCTATGAATGTGGAATACAAGTCAATTGTAGAAAATAGTCTCAATGAGTCATGACAAGAAAAGCATTCACAGAATTACTAATAAAGAAGGAAGTTAGTTTTCTCACACAGATTAAATTTCTCCTTTGTTTCGTCAGTGACACTTGCCACTGCATGCACATGCGTGTGTGTGTCTGTCCAGCCTGTACCTCCATTTTGTTTCTAATCATTTACCGCCCCCACCCTGCTTTCTTTCATCAGGACAGCCAGCAATAAAAAAAATGGACCAAACTGCATGCTTGACTTTACAGTTTACCCTGGGTAAGAAATGCATTGATTCAGTGCCCATCATGACCACATGGGTCATTATATTTTTCCTACTAGCAACCAAAGTACTTAACTTGGGTTGCTAGTAAGTGTTGAGTTCAGTAATGTTTAATTGTACTTACATTGTAAGTGTAAAAGCAGGTGGAAAAAAAAAACCCAGCATGATTAGAAAATCAAATTCTTCATACCACATTGTGTGGACCAACGAGGAGCGTCTCCTCCATTTGGAAGTCAAGCTGAGATTGATCATGCAATATGGAAAAATAGAAGAAACACGGTAATAGTGCTGGAGTCTGCTTGAAATAAGAAAGCAAGGATTTTATTCTGATTTCCTGACGAAGGCATGAATCCAATTTTCCCTACATTATTGCTATCACTGATAATACAGAGCAAGAATGAGCAATAGACTTTCTCTAAGTTGCCCTTCACCAAGCAAACAGCAATCCTACCTGTAATTTTATAATTAATTTATGACTCTTATTTCTTTCATCTTAAGATCAGTTGCTTTTTATCACAACTACTCAGATCAGCATTCTCCGGCTGTTGGTAAAACGATAGGAAATAAAGAAGATTTTATTGCCAAAGAACTGGAAAAACATTAAAAAATAAAAGAGTACAATTTAATTTTGGGTGAAAAAAGAGACATGAAAGTGCCGCAAACATCAATGATTGAAGAGCACAGGTGAATTCAAAGATGATATCCAAAAAGGAAAGAAAGAGAAAGAGAGAGAGAGAGAGTTTATCTATATTTGCTCAATGGATAAAGGTAAAGAGGGAGCAATTAAAAAATAACATGGTTCTGCTGTGAATCATAAGATGTTAGCATTTTTCCAGCCTAAATCTTTTGAAACTGCTTAAAATACATTTTTTTCAAGATTTAATGCTAGCTGACATTTCATTAGGGAGGCATGGTGGAGTAATAGACTGCAGCTCAGATTGAGGAATTGGAGAGCCAAGCTCAAATTCCAGTGAAGTTCATTCCATTCACTTATATGATAACACTCTTGGGAAATGTAATGAATCCATCTCTTCCCTCCTGCTATGGGCAAAATAGCTGGGTAGATTGGCCTTATAGGCTTGGTTGGCAAACAGTCTAGTAGAAGGAAAACTGAATTCAAAGCAGCCTGGAGAGTGTTTGGCTGTCAAGCTGTCTTGCCCAGGAAAAAAAAATCACTGCTGCTATGGTTGCAGTAGGTGTGGTGCCCCTTAGATCCTAAGGATTTACAGGATTTGTGATCATGAACATTTTAACCAATACAATCTACAGCCTTCTGCAAGCGTAAAAGCCAGAATTAATCAAAATTAGAATCCCCTGGTTTCACTGAATGGGATCATCTGTGTGCTTTGTGTTACATGGGATCCAAACCAGTTGTGATATTTGTTACCATTTTGACCTTATTTTATGAAAAAAATCCTTTTTCCTAACACCTGAAGAAGGCTGTAGAATGAATCAGCCAAAACAACAGTAAGACAAAACAATGAGTTTGTCTGAACAAATATTGGCTGATAATTTCTCAAAATTACAAATTTTTTCATTTAATAAAGTCAAATGGATATGGTTGTCCATTAAATGTTTAAAAAAAGAAAAAAAAAATCAACAAATTTACTATTAACTATCATGCTCCCTATAAAGAGAATAAATTTGCTAGTCAAGTTTGACACAATGTCATCAAATTATACTGACTGGTAACAATAAATCAGTGTATCAAATCAGGAGCAACATAGGATTTTTGCAAAGTTTGCAAAAAGCAGTAATACTGTTAGAACTTAAACTCTGGTTAGAATAAGCATCATGAACATGAACCCATTAGACTATTATGGTCTAAGGGGCACTATATTTAATGCATCTGTAGCAGCAGTGGGTGTGTCCAGGGTAAGATAGCTTACTGGAGGTCAGCCTTCTTCAGGCTGGTTATGTATTTTAAATTGTCCATTGATATTAATTGGTCGAGTAAGGGTTATGGGTTAAAGAGATCAGTTTGAACTACTGTTTAATCCATAGCTGGAGGAAAATGTGTTCATGCCTTTCCCAATGCAAAAGGGTCAGAATTTGAACTTGGCATGTCTTTTCCACTTTCCACACCAATAATCATTACAGTAGTGCAAGTTCATAGGACAAGTAGAACCTTATTCAGACATCAACTGTTTAGCTTCTTTTTTTTTTTTTTATTGTGATTAATGACAGTTTCATAGAAATATTAATAGAACCATTGGTATGAAAGAGATAAGATAGCAAAGCCCAGAAATTTGAACTTGTGTCAAAGTCAGTTTAACAAATATTCTACACTATGACTTTAGTGTTGAATGTCTATAGGCACATTGTCATGAAAGATCAGTCTTAATTTTTGTCAAAGTCGATTCACGCCAAGAAGGTTGGCAGATTGGATGACTTTTAAAAGCCGAACCTTAGTAGATTTTCAATTTCACTGGTTGTGACTATTTCGAGACTACTTTTGAAAATAACTCTAGCTACTTGCCCTGAGCTTTCAAATATACACAATTCAGTACTTGGTAGCTCAATTTGGCAAACTTTTAATGAGATTAGCCATTGACAGTAAGTTGATTACTCATTGAATATTTTGTGAATTTGGATTTATGTTAAATGTGGACTTGGTTTCACAAATATTCACTGTCATGAAATTATACTCACCATGTTGACAGAAAACCAGGAGTAAGACAAAATACTGGAAAGGAATTTCAATTAGCATTTAGTAATACATCCAGACTTGTTTGTGACAAAAATTATCATTTTTCTGCTATTTTTGTCATCACAAAAAAGGAAGTAATGCTTGGGAGGACACAATTCATGTGTGGGAAAATCTTTAAATATCTTTAGGCTATCAAACCATTTTGTTTTAACAGATTTATCATCTTTTCAGTGTGCCTCGTTCATTTCATTATTTTCAGTGGATACTCATATTTAAGTAGACGCTGCATTTATTTATTAAACAGTATATACTATTTACATTATTCAGACTATTGTTGCAACATTTCGGCCGTTGTACACTCTGGCCTTCTTCAGGTGGTTGGAATGTTGCACTGAACCCTTTATTTCGCTGTCTGATTATTGTCAGTTATCAGTTATCTCCTGTTAATTCCCCTCTCCAAGTTGAACTCACACTCTTTGGGTCCTGTCACTGGATCTAACTAACGCCTTTATCCACTGTGCCATATGTACTTGAGGACATCTGTGTATGAATTTCTGGGTATTATAAACTTAATGTCTTCAGCAACCTTTTTTTTTTTTTTTACCAGTGCTCATATTGCAATTTTTTCTGTTATCATTTCATGTTTTTACCAGAGCTCATATTGCAATTTTTGTTGTTATTATACCTTTTCTCTGGCACTCCTTATTACTGGTTCCCATAATGTATTCATTTTTATGCTTGGTTGGCTCAGGAGATTTTTGTGTCCTAGCATATGTGCTGATTCCTTAAGTTTATGAATTTTCCAATGATGCTCTTTGTCTATGATTTCAACCTGATCCCACAGAGGTGGTGATATTTATTTATTTTCTTTGACCGGCCTGAATATTGGAGAAATCTTATTAAAAAAAAAAAAAAAAAAAATATGTACTCTTTGTCAAGATTCAAACCTGTGTCCCCCCCAAAGCAGAGGGAATCATTGTTAGATCTGATGTCCTCTAGACTGACTGAAATACAAATAACTTAGCCAATCAGACAAGGGTGAATATTTCCTTTAAAGGAAATTCTTCTCATCAGATTCTCAAAATTATCATATCTGCTCAGTTTTATACCCAAATGGAAACAAGGTAATTTCTAAAGAAGTAATGGACTTCTTATTTATTAATCCAACAGATTTTATCACTTTTAAACATTTTTAGTGAATACCCATGTTTAAGTAGAAATTCTGCTTGTTTATTAACTTTTGTCTATTGGTCTGAATATTCAAGAAATTCAAGAAAGGAGGATTTCACTTAAAGGCATTATTCTTCCTTGTATAATTGGTAAAATTTCTTCATAGCTGAGTTGGTATAAGCACATTTGATCTAACAACGGTTCTCCCTGACCAGGGGATCACAGGTTTGAATCCTGTGTATATTTTTCATTAATAAGCTTTCTTAAATATTCAGCCCAGTAGATGAAAATAAATATACTGTTTAATAGTGTGTCCACTAAAATTAATGTTTAAAAGTGATAAAATCTGTCAGATTAACAAATAAAAAATCCATTACTTGCAAAGTAATGGATTAGAAATTGCATTAGAGCATGTATCTTACTGCCCAACCAACAAATAAAAACTGTCAAATCAGAAATTAAAGTAAATGAAATGCAAATACAGATGAGTTTACGTACATAGATGATTGCTGCAGACTTGTTAAACGAGTATGACCATCACTGACAAATTTGATTTATAGTTGCATAATATGCATCTTTGCCAGGGCTACACACCATTTTCAAGTTGAAGTTACCTTTCTCCTAGACTGGTTGCCAACCAAGGCTGAAGAACCGAGTCTGCCCTGACAACAAATGCTAAGATGTCAGTAATGCCTGTGCTGAGATTATTTTCAGTCTGCTTTTTGGTTTTTTTTTTTTTTGGTTTTTTTTTCCAAGCTAGAAAACATTTTCAGATTGTAAGATTTTTTGTGGAAATAATGATGATTTACTGATACAAGTCCTACTGATTAACCCATAGTGGAAGGGAGTGGTGAATTCATACCTTTCCCCATGGTATTTGTGCA